TGTCGATGAGGTGCGTTGCTGCTCCATTTGATGGTGGATTGCTGTGCCGACTGAAATTTAGTTCACAAAAAAAAAAATACTTTTGTGGGCTTATGGTTTGGGGGGGGGGTTGGGGTATTCTGGTGGTTGCGGAGCCGTCTGCGCGCGTGTTTAGTGGTTTGGTACACGCGCATATGGGGCACGACTTGACGTACAGTCGGATGTCGTCTTTTTTTTCTTTTTCCTTCCAAAAAAAAAAAAATAACGGTGTTTGACCGCCCTGTACGTTTCTTTCCAGCCCGGGTGGTTTGCGAGTACGTGATCGTGGTTAGTCCAGATCACGTTCTGGGTGTTGATTTTTGGGATGACTACGGGTGTGTGTTCGCCCAAACTTATCCGGAGAAGACCGTCGGTAAAAATGAATTGCTTGTTTTTCTTTTTCCGAGGTACCTCCGGTATTGCGCGCTGGGTCGTCCGTTGTCATGTTGTGCGTTATGTCTCGTGTGTTGGGGTCATTGGCCTGCCATGTCACGAGCATAGCGTGTGTGATTGTGGGGTGACTAGTGGTGTTAGCTTGGTTCGTCGTGGCGAACAGATTGTCGGCCGGTGGACTAGTAGTGGTGACGAGTGGTGTGGTGGGTACTCCTACTAGTCGTTCCTCGAGGTGTTCCTCGTCTACCGGGGGCCCGGTAGTCGGGTTGCGGGAGAGCATGTCCGGCGCTTCGTTCTGTACGCCGGGCACATGGGTGGTTTTGTAATCCAGGTTGGCCAGTTGTAGTGCCCACCTGGTTAATTTTGAGTTTGTGTTTTTGGCTCGGTGGAGCCATGTGAGTGCTGAGTTGTCTGAGTATAGGTCAAACCGGCGTGCCTCCAGGTATGGTCTAAACTCATCGGTTGCCCAGATTATCGCGGGGCACTCGCGTTCTATCGCGGCGTACCTTGGTTGTGTACCACTAAACTTTTTGCCTGCGTAGGCGATTATCCGCCTTTCGTCCGGGCTGTCACCCCGTTGGAAAAGGACGGCACCCGCTCCTATCTCGCTAGCATGGGTTATTGTTAGTTTGTCAACATCTAGTGCTGGGCTGGGGTTGGGTATCCGACCTTTCCAGCACGCTGTTGTTCTCCTATTCGAACCTAAATGAATAGTGCTCGTTGTGTAGTCCCAGGTGACTTCGTTTTGCACGAGACAGTCGTGACCTAGGAGCATGTCGCAGTATAAATTGTCCAGAATGGCTGCGTTGAAGGTTACCGTGAGGTCTCCGATTCTGGCTACGAATGTGGAGGTACCACTTGTCATGGTAGTGTGTCCATCCGCCATTCGTACCTGAGTGGGTTGTCCGTGGTGGGGTGTGCCAAAAAAAAAAAATTTTTTTTTTTTTTTGTGTTGTGTTCGGGCTTACATACGATTTTTGTGCTTGGGAGTCGAGTAGAGCTGTTACGGGGCCTGACCTAAATTCGAGTTCGACCGGGGGAGTCGGAATTTTGTCGGGGCATACTCGTTTAGCGTTATTCGACGTTGGTGGTGATGTATAGCTGGATAACTGGTTCTTAACCGCGATATCGGTGTTCTGGGGAGCGGTTTACACCGCCATTACCAGAGCATCCGTTTCGGTTACCTCTGTGCTATGTGTGTGTACTGTATGTGTACCTGTTAATTTCGTAGTAGGGGTCGTTGATGCGGACCTTTGGGGTGCCGCGTGGTGTGGTGATGGTGACCTGCTACTTAACGAAATTGTTGATGTTTGGACGGGTGATATATGTGAGGACGCCGAGTTTATCGATGCGCGTTTGATGGTTATATCCCCGTCTGTAATGCCGAACGTTGTGTGTGGTGGCGTGGTGGTGTGGGTGTGTGTGTGTGTGTGGTGGTGTGTGTGCGTGTGGTGGAGGCGGCGGCGTGGACAGGTGTCCGCCGACTCATTTCCCGTTTCCCGAACGCGGTGTGTTCCCGGGGCAGTCACTGTTCCAGTGAGGACCTCCGCAGTATCTGCACGGGTTGGGCGGTTGCGGTTTGCCTGCCGTACCGTCCCGTGTTCGCGGTTGGTGCGTTGGTTGTGGTGGGTGGGTTTGGGGAAATCTTTTTTGCGCCGGTTTCGGCTGTGGTTGTGTCCGTTAAACCGCGCTGTCCGCATTCGTAGCGCAATTCCGCGGCGGTCAATTCATTAATATATTTTCCCGGCATGACTTCCGGTTGGTTTTCCGGTGTTGTTGCGAGGAGATATAAAATGAGGCTGTTGTCGTTGGAACGGGTATCGCGTTCCTTCGATCAGCTGTGTTGCCCGCTTATCGGTGTTTATTTGCGTACAGAATGTAGGTCAGTGGGTTGTTATTGTTATTGTTGCGCTTGCCGGGCGATCACAGTAACCGGTCTTCGCAGAGTGTTTTCGCGGATGCGCGTGTGTGCGTTATCCGGTGCACTACTGCGATTAGGGAAGGCGGCGGCTGTCGCTTTAAGCGGCGGCCGCGGCAGTCCGATTACGTGGTATTTTTGTCCCGGGTCATCGCGTGTTGACGTAGGCGAGTGGCGGTGCTGGGCGGTGGTGGTTAGACCCTCTCGCGCTCTTGCGTTCCTACCTAATGCCTAGCCTACCTACGTCGTGTGTGTGTATGAAGCGTCGCGCGCGGTGCGGTCGGTGCGTCCGTAAGTCGGGCGGCGCGGCCGGTCGTTACGTCCTTTATGGTTATGTAATATATTACGTAACGCCGGTTTTTCCGTTAACGCCTGAAAACCACGTTTTTGTCGGATCGCGTCCGGGACTTTTTCCAATCGCGCAACGGGGGGTATATGTGGGTGGTAGTGAGTGGTAAGATAGTTTTCACTTACCGGTGATTCCTGTTCGGGGAGCCAGTTTACGCGGACTTCTGTTGTGCCGCGTGGTGTGGTGAGGTGATGGTGGTGACCGACGGAGACAGTCGGGTCGAAACAACAAACGGGATAATAGGAAAAGGATTATTAAAACACAACGAACAAACGAACGACGCAATGGGGTGTCACTTAAGTATTTATTGTTACAAAACACAAAAGATTATTCAGGTGGGAACCGGTAACGAAGTACCCGGAACGTGGGTGTGGGTTCGGGTGTGTACCGGACGGTGTCGGGAAGACGAGAGAGCGCGCCTTGACAATCCGGTTCGCTGGGACGGTCGGCCGACGGTTCCAGGCGCGCGTGTCGCGCGCCGGCGTCGTCCGTCGTCGATTGGCGGTTTGATTGAGAAGCCGCGGCGCGGCTTCCGCGCAAAGGCTGTTTGAATTCAAACAGATTTTGCGCGGGACCGCGTCAAAGTTATGAACATAAAATTAGAATTAATCGTATTTACAAATTTAATACTTAAATTTATTTAAACAAAGTAAAGACGAAATTAATTTGATGGTAAAATTATCAAAAAGCAATGGCACGTTTTGGAAAATAGAGAATTGATGTCCTATGTAATTAGTATGGGAAATAGTACGTTTTGCTTTGAGATTGGCAATAACGCGTTTTGGAATGATATATGGCAATGGGACGTTTTGACGTAACAGCTAGTTGAGTCCTATACTAATATTATGGGCAATAGAACGTTATGGAACAAAGTGGCAATAGAACGTTTTGGAAACTAATAATATAGGCGATAGCACGTTTTGAAACAAATACCGATTTTAAGATCGATACCACTGAAAAAATGAAAAAATAATCGTGATATCGAAAAAACGATTCCAAATTCGTATTCCCTAGCATATTTACAATAAGAATCGATATCTAACTCGATTTTGATAAAAATGGCAATAGTGCGTTTTGGAATGTCGCCCTTCAATTAGAAAAAAATATGTAATCCATAAATATAATATAATATATAAACGATAAACTTCAGTATATCACAGTAAAACGTGCTTCGGAAAAATAATTGAAATCCTCAAAAAAACTACTTCGGAGAAGTAAAAAAGGCTTTCTGTGCGTAAGTTGAAGAGATTGGGAGAAAAGATAGAACTTTGGTGTTAATAAAGATGTGAAATCAATCTCAAAGTTCTGTGCCAAAAAGGGCCACGGTTGAAAAAATAGAATTTGGGGCTTAATAAAGAAGTGAAATCAATACCCAAATTATGTGCCTCAACTTGAAAAAATATCTTATTCAAAAAAATGTCGAGATGTTCAACTGTACAAACATTAAAAAAAAAATATTAGCACAGAACGGCGTACAATAATGATGAATTAATAAAATTAGCCATAAATTGTCGACTTGTTTACGAGTTAATCTGTTTGATTCGAATTTTTGTTGACAAACTGTAATTCACGCCGTTCTGTGCTAATATTTTTTTTTTAATGTTTGTACAGTTGAACATCTCGACATTTTTTTGAATAAGATATTTTTTCAGGTTGAGGCACATAATTTGGGTATTGATTTCACTTCTTTATTAAGCCCCAAATTCTATTTTTTCAACCGTGGCCCTTTTTGGCACAGAACTTTGAGATTGATTTCACATCTTTATTAACACCAAAGTTCTATCTTTTCTCCCAATCTCTTCAACTTACGCAAAGAAACTAAGAAAGCCTTTTTTACTTCTCCGAAGTAGTTTTTTTGAGGTAATATATAGATGTATATGTTACGGGCAAAGTATACAATTTATATAAAGTTATAATTATATAAAATGCCCGGCCATTATGTAAAATGACCTTCATATATTGGGCAATATAGATAATACTATGTAATTGTAAAGTATAAAGCATTTTATTCATTATATTTTAACTTTATAAACATGATAAATATTAACTAGGAGGTACCTATACTAATAAGTAATATTATATTTTATTACTATTTAATTGTAAAGTATAGTCAAAATACCAATGTTGGATTATTATCTGTAGATTTGGTATTTTGGTTTGTTCTTGTCGACTTATCGGGCAGTCACATATTATTTGATTGTAGTGTTTATCATAGAATGCCATAATAGATAGATATGACATTTTACCTATATCGGTTAATTCTCGTAAAATTAACTATTTAGTAACCGCGAATCGCTTGTATAGTGCAGTTATATTTTGAATATGGAAAAGTTTAATGTAGATTTAAATGATTTGTTAGAAAAAAAAGGTTCAAATACTTCATTTTTGAAAAAGCTTAAATATGATCAACTAATTTCGCATATAATTCAACTAAAGAATAATTCAAAAAAAAAGGAACCGAATGATTATAACCTTTTAAAAAAATACGACGTGTTAAACGTTGCTAATGTTAACAAGTTAATTGTACCTGTATCTGAATAAAAAATAAAAATATTACTGGAGTTATTCTTCCGAGTACCTATAAATACTATACTTTTATTATTAATATTCCAGATAAACTAATACAATTTTTTTTTTTTTTTTTTTTTTATTAAGCAACTATCCGCGGCGTCTATGGCCATTGGATGTAACAGTACATTATTGTATTTAAGTATATTTACATATTACATTAATATTTGAAAGGTATACAAAGTAATTTAGTATTTAAAACAAGACAAGATAATAATAATTAAGAGACAGGTTAAGTGATGGTATTATTTAGAATTTACAGTTTGTTTATAAGATTCGTTTGCTTGAGAAATTGTATGATCTTGTGTATATTGTTGGGGTCCGGATTGAGTGCTTCGGCGAGGTGGTTGGATATTTGGTATAGCCTTCTTTCTTTGTCGTAAACTTTGCATTCGGTTAAGATGTGTTTCACAGTAAGGGGTGTTCCGCAGCATGTGCAAACAGGGGGGTCTTCCTTCTTCATTAAGTGGGAGTGTGTAAGGTGTGTGTGACCAATTCTGAGACGGTTTATAGAGGTCTCAAGTTTTCTTGAGATGTTATCTGGAGGTGGATACGGTAGGATGGTTCTCTTGATTTCGTTAAGTTTGGTTGACATTTCATTCCATTCCTTTTGACAGTGAAGTAGTGTATCCTTTTCGATGACCCTCTTTATGTCGTTGAGGGAGAAAAAGGGTAAGGAGAGAGAATTTGGGGATGTGTGGGCGAGTTTGGCGGATGTATCTGCTAGTTCGTTGCCGTCTATATTACAGTGGCCAGGGATCCAAGAATATGTGATGTTTTTGTCCTGTTGTTTTGCTATGTAGTGGGTGTTTTGGATTTTTCTGACGATATCAGACGGGGAATACAGATTTTGGAGGCTAGTAAGAGCGGAGAGGGAGTCACTAAATATTGTAATATTGTTGTCATTTATTTCAGAGATGGTGAACTCGATAGCTTTGAGGATCGCCAGGGTTTCTGCTGTATATATCGAACATTTGTCTGAAAGTTTCCATTGTATTGTAGTTTCATCGCATATGATAGCCATCCCGACTCGCCCTTCGATGATGGAGGCATCTGTATATATGTGGGTTTGTGGGTAGGTGTGTGAACAGAAGTCTCTGAATGCATTCTTGAAAATGTGAGGACAGGTTGAGTTTTTGGGGAATTGATGTAGGTCGATGTTGATATTCATGCTGAACTGCCATGGGGGACATAGGGGTTTTTCATATGGGATTATATTTTCGAGGTCGTATTTTATGAATGAGTGATTGAATGTATGTTTAGGGTGATGGATATGATTTTGGGGGGATCTTGAAATTCTTGCTGCTAATTTGAGGGTTTGTTCTCTCCACCGTACTTCTAAGGAGGGGATTCCAGCAATATTTAAGATGCTTTTTATGGGGCTTGAGCGGAAGGCACCGATGGAAAGTCGGATTCCCGAGTTGTGGATAGTCTCCAGTATTTTAAGTTTAGTGTGTTTCGCAGATGAGAAAATTGGAGCGCCGTAATCCAGTTTCGATAGTATGAATGCTTTGTGTATCTTAAGAAGGGTTTGAGATTTGGCTCCCCATGAGGTATGACCTAGGGTTTTTATGATGTTGAGTCTAGGTGTGGTAGTGTTCTTTAGGTTGAAAATATGAGGGGTCCATGAAGCTTTATGATCAAAAATGATACCCAGTATTTTAGCATTGGGTTGGTTTTCTAGGACTTGGTCTCCGAAGTTAATGTGTATTTTCTTCTTATTCCTCTTGTGGCTGAAAACTATAAGGTTGGTTTTTTCCGGAGAAAAACGGAAGCCGGAAGTTTTTGACCAGGACGTTAGTTTGTTCGTGGAGTCTTGAAGTATCGATTGAATAGAATTAACGTTAGTACTGCGGCAGAGAATAGTGAAGTCGTCTGCGAATAGTAGAGGTATATTTGGGCGTGAAATTCCTTCAGATATATCATTGATAGCGATCAGGAAAAGAGTTACAGAGATAGTGGACCCCTGTGGGACCCCACTTTCTTGGAGAAAGGTGTCTGAAAGCGTGTTGGAGGTTTTTACTTGAAAGGTGCGGTGGTTAATACAATTTGTTTTACAGTTAACAATGACATGTACGAAATCGGGACTAAGGAAGGTCGCCTTTCAACTTTGTATAGTAGAAACCAATTTGTAATTTGCAAGGAAAGATTTCTGAAAGTCGATGATGTGCCACAAATCAAGATTTCACTCCGAGAGACAGCACGGACATTTTCTAATTTGGGTGGTCAGGGCTACGACCGATGTACGTGTGTACAAAAATGTAAAACACGGAAGTACAAGTGCAAAGCTGCGGAGAGATTATGCACATCAAAATGCCACGGGAGTAGTGCATGCGATAATAAGTAATAAATTGATAATATTGAGTATAAATATTATCATTACTCAATGGTAATAAATAATTACTACTAATAAGTAATGAAATATAATTAAATAGTAATAAAATATAATATTAGTATATGTACTTCTCGACAACAGTTAAACGTACAGGGATAAACTTGATTTTTATTTAAAGTTGTATATAGTTTTAAAATATTGTATCCGGGATTTTTATCAAACACTGATTTGTACTTTTTCATAGAGTATTAATTGTCCCTTTACATTCTCAATTTTCTTAAGCCCATCTCTTATTACTGTTTAAACTAAATTTATTTGATAATTTAAGCAGAATTTTTGTTTTTTGAGTTTTTTAACTTAGTTTTTCAACCGATTTTGCTTAACAATTCCTGGTTTTCCTTAATTTTTTTTCAGCACTTTCGAACACTAATGGGAATAATTTGACCTTCCAAATGCACCAAACATTCACTTAATCCCATCGAACAAGATACTGAAGTGGAAAATTAACCATTATATTTTGGACTACTTATCGTGTACACATAGACACACACACACACAAAAAAAACACACTTCATTGTTAAATCAATACATTCATTGCTCCGTTCAGAATCTAAAATAAAAATGTGTTCGTTACATCAAAATAATTTTAAAAAAAAACATCTATATAGTTTAGAGTATAGATGAGTATTTATGAGTATAAAAGGGTGACCATATTCGCCCCGTCTTCGTACCCCTGTCGATTCTCGACTGTAGTTGTCCCCTGGGGAATAACCGGTTTTCAGAAGGTAGACCAAAAATAAACTGAAATCAAAAATATATTCTTGGAGGTGGCCATGGAACAGTTGATCAACTGAGGTACTAGACATTTTCATTTGATAATTTCAAGTATAGATACTTATCATTCGGGCACACGGGAGCGAATATTTATGGGGAACAAAATTGTAATATTATTAATTTGTTTGAAAAAAAATTATTATTCGAATAAATATAGGCACCTATCTGGCTGCATAGAATCACTAAGGTACTTCCATATACTTGACGACGTATATGTTTTATAAAATTTGTTCACTTCACAACAAACGTTCGTTATCCACTGTACGCTGCTTGCGATTTATACATTTATTGTCAATCGTATATTGTATGCAATCATCAGTATAATGTCCCTAACAGTCTTCGGTGTCGTTGATCGATTACTTATGATATTGGTAATATTGGTAATATATTGAATCTAGGGACGATCATAAGATGGAAACGAATCGTCGATGGTTGGATTCACCAGTACACAACTGCAGTTCGGTGTCTGTTTACGGTATATAGTATTAAATTTAAATAAATTACAACACTTTTATATAATGATAAATAATAGCGAGACATAGGTAATGTTTTTATCTGGAACCAATTCCGTGCGACGAGTTTAAAATGTTCGCCTTTTTGACTTACCCACCTTCGACTAGGGAAAATAATATTATAATAATTTTGTGTTTAAGGGAACCGTCGCGGATATTATTGAAACAGAACATTGTTCTTTACCACCGCCGATCGTTGAAAATCCGGCGGTAAATGTTAGATCTCTGTTTTATTTTTAAACTACTTACAAGTTTACTGTCCAGAATTAGTTTTAAGCTTAAGTTTTCTTAATTCTTAGTCTCTAATCTTAGCACTATAGACAACTAAAACACTCGCTGTACGTACCTACCATTCCCGTCTACCAATAATATTATAATGGTCGAAATTCAATAAGTATGTTTTTGATTACCTATGTTTGTATTTTGATATGCTGTTATCACTAACCCGTTGTCCGATCGTTCGGCTGTTAATATTAGTTTTTAGACTTATTACCACGACAAAATAGATAGCTATGTCAGCAACTTTTAGGTACATTAATTATAACTAAAGTTTGATAATTATTATCTGTATTGTTTAAGCCCCGGCAAGGACGCATTTAAACATTATCGTATATTATTATTAAGAGTTTATTTTTGTGTTTGAGGTAAACGAATTTAAACATTATTGTATTATAACTTCAAAATTGAAAATTTAATTTAACTTTCAAATCTTAGATTTAAATGGAAAATTTTTTATGAACTTATAGCTTAAAATAATTTGCAAATTTTCGTGATTTTTACGTGTTTTGTCAACATTTGAACTTTAAATTGGATTTAAAAATGGATTTTTAATACTTTTCAAACGTCATTGTAACAATTTATTAAGAGACTTGTATTACAATTTCAACAAATAAAATTATATTGACATTCTTGGAAAAAAAACTTAATAAATAGGAAAATAAAAATGTCTTAAACCCTAAACAGTTCAAAACAAGGAGAAATATTTTGAAATTTTTATCGTGTAAAGAATATTATGCAAATTGAAAATTGAATGTATCTACGGTCATTTGTTTTGGAGTTACACCAAAAACCAAAATTTTGATCTTCCCAATGCACCAACTAGATTCACTTTCCCATCGTCGTTAATATTTAATTACAAATATAGGTGTTTGGGAATTTGGGAACCTATCATTAAGACCATTAATTTATAGGTATGTACTATGTAGTAAATAATTTTCAAACATAAACAATAATAAATGGTTCTATTAAAAGAATAGGTGTACCTACCTAGGTGGCTAGGTACATGAATTAAC